TCTGATGTATTACATGAAATAGTTGAGGAACAACAAATAAGATTTTGATAAAGGTTTAATAATTACTTCGATGCGAAAAATAAAACTCTAATTAAGTAACACTTTTTAATCAAGTAACGTATACTATTCGCTATTAATATTTTGATTTTGCATAGAAAAATAAAAGATTCAATTTTTTCGATTTATATAGCGCACTTCTGTGAATTTCAATAATTATTGAATACCTCTCTTCCTTGTGACTTCAATTATTTTACAGAGTCTTTAAAAATTTTAATTTTGGTTTTACCATAAATTCCGTGTTTGTTAACGTTTATTGTATATTTAATGATCAAATATATGTATTTGTCAAATTTTCTTACGTTTATCCAACTAATTTTTTTTAACTCTTCCATCTACCCTCCAAAAGTTTATCGCGCTTTTATTTGATCGACACCATTCTTTTTGCATCTATCCTCTTTTAGTGTACTTGCGCTCGTCTGCACGCAAACTTTCTTGCAAACCTCTTGCCTGCGCCTTGTCTCTTTCTTCTTCATCATTACCAGGTACCCTCTTTGCGTTTGCGTCTGCCTCACGATGCTTCTTCTTCCATTAAGAAATAATTTCTATCTGCTCCCCCGTCTCCTCCCCCCCTGTCGCTCTTAACCCTCCTACCGGCTCATCCTCGACCTCGCCGACCTTGCCTTTATCCCCGCGCGTTTATTAAAGCCTCTTTGTGCGTCGACGTTGGCTGAGGATTTGCCGAGGCCGAATGACGCGCGAACATCGCACTCGCGTTACCGTATACCGACGCGAACGAAATCACGCTAAAAAGACCAGCCGCGGATACCGCGCGAGCGAACCTTAGAATTAACAACCACCACTAACACTCGGTAGCCTCGTAATTATTGTTATTATTTCTCTCCCGCCCGTCCTCGGTCCGCCTAGACGTAAAGATTGTAACATAGTTACCGCGCCGTGATTGCCTGTCTTAAGTAACGACTCATTACTCGGCCAGAGGTCGGATGCTGATCGGCACGTATAGTGGACAGCCCTTAGCCCTTGCTTAAGATTCCTTCCGGACTCCAACTATGCCACGATTCTTCTCGACTGCATCTCGCTAGATTCGGCTCAACAATGCAACAGTCGCGTCTTTTCGAAAGACGCGAAGATCACTAGACGTGAAATGTCGAGTTTCGATAATAATTGGACTACCGTAGAGCTGACAAAACATACGAGAATTCTACCGATTACGACAGGGTGGGTAGTACCGGGAAAAACCGGGAAAACCTTGAATTCTCAGGGAATTTCATTTTTACCCTCGAAAATCATGGATTCTTATGGAATTTTATTGATACTCAGGGAAATTTTTTGAATTTTACTTTTATATTTAAATTTAATTGTATCTCTTTTGAAAATAAACGTGGCCTCATATCGAAGGCCCCTGATATTGAAAGTTAATTTATTTTAAAATTGACATATACTACATAAAGACACTTTAATCTAAAAAATGATAATCCGGAAGTAATAAATTAGGTATTAAGAGTCTAATAACGCAGAACTTGGTGCGTGAAACAATTTAATCTTCACATATGTAGTTACATCTCCATACAAAATCTTTCGTTACATTCGAAAAATTTTGGAGATGTATCTAACTATTGTAGAGTCATTCGGGGTAAACGTGCGTACTTTTTAGTTGACGTATAATTAATTAAAAATGTGCAGACTTGAATAAAAAAAATATGATTATTTGTGTAGCCTATTTATTATATTAAAAAAAAAACAATTTATATTCAACTTCTCTCATATTTTCACAAAATGAAAATTATTTTGAAAAGACAAATGTGCCCACTTGACCCGTACTTGCGGGTAAACATGCGCAGTATTGCAGGATAAATAAACGCACGATGAAATAAGTGTGCAATCAACATTTTTTAAGACATTTTTTGAGTATTAACTTTAATATAGGTAGTATAGATTAGTTTTTTACACATACAAAGATTTTGGTAGAGGTATTTACCAAATTTACATCAAATTTAAATCACTTTCAAAATTAAAATAAAACATTACTGTTTACTGACTTAATTTTTTTTATTTAACTTGATGATTATGCTGATTATCATTAGTACTGAGATTAGTTTACACAGCTAAGTATACGCATGCGTATACTTGTCCCAAGGCAATGTTTTTAAAAACTAAATCTCAGTACTAACAATAGTCGACACAATCTCTAATATTGTAACGCAATATAAACTTAAATTACAATACTATGTATAAAATATGTAATCACCTCTCTTTTCTTCTTTAATTTGACGTAACATATTTTCCAGTAATAAAAAATCAATCGATGTTACGTGCTGTTTTATAACTATGCGTATATTTATTTTATTATTGCGCATAGAGTTCCAGCTAATGTTTATTTTTTACTGGTATGCAAGTGCCACTACCTGGCTAACAGTAACTAACTTCCATCTTTCCCTCCCGTTGAAATATGGACAATTCGCACACTTACCCAATGCGCACGTATATAGCCCGAATAACTCTACATATGAGAAGATTAAATTGTTTCGCGCATCAAGTTCTATACGTTATTAAAACTCTTAGTACCTAATTTATTTTAAAGCTGTATTGAGAAATTCTCTAATCTTACCTGGAATTTTGAATAAAATTCTTGGAAAATCCGGGAATTTTCAGGGAATTCTTTTACAAAATTTGAGTACCCACCCTGAACGAGTATTTTTCACAAATTGTTCTTTATATTGCAATATTAAGTATTTGGAAATTCCCTATCATTTAGCAGGCTAATCTAATTCCTGCGTTTGTACTCGCGACTATGGGGAATTGACATAAGTAATAATCCATTCTTCCACCTTTATTAAAAGACATTAATTATTGTTCTAATGAGCATTGTGGAATAGACGAGCAGATGTTTACCAAATTGCGGCAAATTGCCTGTTGGCTCGATTCGCGCCGCGCGCGCGACGCAACTTAATTAATATTTGTTAATTAAATCGGAATAGTGACTGCGCGCCGTGCGTTTACCGCGAACTTCGCTTCACTCTCTCAATTCAATTTGTTGTAAATTATACGCGAATGCTTAACTATTCCATTTCTGCCTCGACAGAATAGCTCGTTCCAAGTACGTTAATGTTTACGTCTTTTTCCATATTATTGTACATTCAGCTATACGGATCTCAAATTGAGCCAATATCAGTGCAATCTGTTGTCGAAAAGTTTAATGTTTCGAAAAATTCTCCCTTAAAGAAAGAAGATTAACGTTCTTTGAAATCTAATCGACGAGAATCGAAGATTGAATAGACGAACAAAATTAATTAATTGAATAAATTTAAAAAATTTACGTACTTAAAACTTAATAAAGGAAATATTTAATTAGTTGAACCTATTAGGAATTTACGAAGCTAAGAATTGATGCGATCGGTATATTACCGTGATCGTTGCGACAAAATCCTTAGGACGATCATAATAATTACGAAATAAGCTGCAGCGAGTATTATTCTCGGTAAATTTGCTACATCGAAGCTAAACGTCGCCGCTAAAGCGATCCACGTCGTGCTTGTACATGATTACTGTCATTACTATTCGAAAATATGACCTTTTTATTAGGCCCGCGAACGATTCTAGTCCCCCGGGGACCTACCATCATTCGTCGTCGTCATTTCGCTGTCAATTGAAAGCCCGGGACGTCGCGGACTGGGATTTAATTTACGAGCCTTTAACCGCGACCGCGAATGAGACTCGCGGTGAGGTCTAAGAAAATGAATGTTACGCGAGTGCACCTGGCAGAGAGATGATTGTACCACGCGCGCGTCCATGAAAAAGATGTGGCGCACGCTGAGAGTCTCACGTTAAAATAATAGCGTGCAAATTGCAGTTACGCTGTTACTTTCGGTGGCTGCAATTTTATATCTAGACGTACGTCTGTGGCGACCACCAGCATTGCAGAAGTTGAAAAAAAAACTTCATTCGCGACAACGAATACGGTATCCACTTGGGAAATTTGCGCGGACGAATCTGCGTGACGATGTAAATATCCATGTTACTCCCATAATTCGAAAGTAAAATTCACCTCGCCGTCGAATGTTGCTGACGCCAGTCGGATTATTATGCGCCATTATTATTAAAATCGGCGATACGTCGGCGAGAGATTGCACGTATTAAATATTTTTGGAAATGTTCACTACTCACGGGAATGGGAAAAACGGAATGCGCAATGAGAGGTCGTCACCGAACTAATATCGATAATTAATACCCAATAAATACTTGAGCGGAAGTAACATTTACTCCGCGCTATAGCCGGGCTAGCAGTTTTGTCCATAATTCCGTCGTTAATATTTAATTCTTCATCCCGTTCGTGTCATTCTCGTTTCGTTAACACAAGAGCACTTCGGCAATACATATATATACGATAAATATATTATACAAGCCTGTTAACTGCAATCATTAATGGCTGCGTCTCTCTAATTTTACACGAATTCGTCGATTATTGTAAATCCCTGATTTTTTAACGAACTAGCTGGCAATTTAAACATTTTCGGCCAAGTCAAACTAAAACTAATTGTATGAAATTTGATATGTGTCAATCTTCTTTAAAATATATTAAAAATAATTACATTTTAATGAGGTTTGTGTCATCGTAATCTCTGACACAATAAGAATGTATTATCTTTGTATATTGTATTACTTTTTGAACTATAAATAGATTGCATTGGAATGAACAGGAAAATTACAGGAATTGCAACAAACTCAATAAAATTTAAAATTTTATATTGCAAAACCGTCATTTAAGATTTTGGTAATTTTAATTAAAAAATTTATTTTGCATTGACAGATTTAATTCTATCTATTGCTAAGGCGTGGCTAAATAAAAACTTGAATTATTTAAACAATATACAATTACGCCTTCCTGGAATTGAACAAATTAATCTATATCTATAATTTTATTAAAATAAATTAACTGCCGCTAATCAATTTATATAAAAAAAATATCTATATTTCGGTTGCAGGTGGTAGTGGAGAGTTCGACGCTGGCATTGGAGTACGGTGATCTCGAGATTGATCCTGGTTCTCCAGTGAACCCGGATCTGCTATTCGATTCGCAGCTGATGCACCTTTACGTACTGACGGAGAAGAGGGTCTCAAAGGTTAAAGTTCAGGAGTGCTCGGTCTACAAGACCTGCTGGGACTGCCTGGGCGCCAAGGATCCGTACTGCGGCTGGTGCTCGTTGGAAAACAAGTGCAACCTGCGCAGCGACTGCCAGGACGCGGCCAAGGATCCGCTCTACTGGATTTCCTACAAGAGCGGTAGATGCACGACGATCACCACTGTCACGCCGGACCAACTGCAGCGCACCACCGCCAGGACTCTCGAGCTCGTCATCGAGAATCTACCGACGCTGTCCGGGCAGTTCCTTTGCGCGTTCTCCGCCCTCGACAAGACCCTGATCACGAACGCCTCGCGGAAGTCCTACGGCGTGAACTGTACCACACCGAGAACCGATTTATTGCCATCGATACCGCCGGGCCGGCACCATTTCACGGCCAAGCTGTCCGTTCGAATGACAAACGGACCCGATTTGGTAGCGACGAATTTCACTTTCTTCGACTGCAACACGTACAGCTCGTGCACGCAGTGCGTGTCGTCGAGCTTCCCATGCGACTGGTGCGTTGATGGTCATCGATGCACACACGATACAGCGGAGAACTGTCGGAACGACATTCTTGTTACAGGAGTTAGCGTAAGTTTCTTACTATTTATCTTTAAATTGAGGAGAAATCAAGCGATATAAATATCTTCATCACACAATAGATCGATAGAAGATTTAGAAGTACAGATGAAATAATTATATACATACATGTCCCCAAAAATGCTTTTCTCTTTAATTCTTATTCGAATAAACGAATAAAAATATTCATATAAGAAGAAATGAACTGTTAATCTTTCAAATGGAAAAACGAAATGATATTGCAAGATAGGCTAAAGAGATTGGAAAATTTAAAGGGGCCAAATAGAAACTTAGAAATTTTATTTTATATTCAATTAATTACATCAAAATTATAGAATATGATGTGCAATTTACAAATTATCTTACCTTTCTGGTGTCGCGATGCTATCGCTTAATAATCATTACATCTTAAAAATGACATCCTTCTTCCAGATGATCTCTTGAGTACAAGCATTTTTTTCAATCTCCCTCTAAAGTCTTTCATGACTTCTTGCAACTCAATTGTGACATTTGCACACTTTTTACTATTTGCTTTAACATTTTAATATTTTTTGCTTTAATATTTTTAATATTTGCTTTAACATTTTTAATATTTGCTTTAAGTTCATCAATACTTCGAGGTTGTAAGAAGTCTAGAAGAATAAAAGATTCAGAGAGAGATTGCAAGAGATGGTCATTTAAGATGTCATTTTCAAGGTGCAATGATTATAAGATAATTTATAAATGGTATATTGTGTTCTATATTTTTTGATTAAAATTAATTAAATAAAGTTTCTAAGTTTGCATTTTACACTTAAAAATGTCCTCATTTCCTTAGTATTTTTCCCAAGTATTTGTTTAATAAGTTTAATAAGTACTGTATTTGTTTTACATAACTTACGTACACACTTCGCTGGTTATTCCGCCATCATTTATTGCTTTTTTTCTCTTCTTGAGTTGTTTCGTTGCACTCACGTAATACAATATTCGTAAAAAACGGTTAATAGTAATAAATCGCGCATCAATTACTAGAATACGTGTACCATTTTGCACTTTCGACAGTAATGTGCAATTGCACAAAATATTATTAATAAACAATATACTAAGTGCCGCTTCAATTGACGCATTCGATCAAACAATTCGTGCGTTAACTCCGCGCTCGCGCTCATGCGTTTAAAAATGATAATTACATTTGTAATATGAATTGCGACAAAAAATATATAGCGAGATGTATTCCAATTTATTTGTAAAGCTAAAAGAATAATTATCGCAACGGGACATGCGCGAAGTAACGCTGGTTCAATAAATAGTCTTTGCTTCCAATACGCTCGCGCACTATTAATAGAAGCCGATTGATTGCGCGGACCGATAATCGCTATAATTGGTCAAAATATTCGCATTACGAAGAGCAATAATGCGACTGCACGCAGAGCGGTTTGCACCATTGCCTGCCTGCTCCAGTATCACCGCGCAAATGATAGCGCGCCGATCTTGCTTGTACAACGACCTGCCGTATGTCGCATAAAACAAAGCCGTGCGCTAGCCAAAATGTCCTGTTCTACCGAAATAACGGTTTATTAAATAAACACGTGTCGAATATGTCCTTTATATTTGAAATCAATTTCCATGGACGGGTTTCTAATTAATTGTTATAATAATATAATATATTATAATTTCGTTTGGAATTAATTTTCTAAATTACGAGCATTATCGCTCGATTGAGAACATCTGGAAGTGTAACAAAGATATTGTTACTGGAATTTTAATTTCAATGATTTAGTGTAACTGATTAATACATATATCTATGCATTTTTATTTTTGCATCAAAGTAGTATGATAAAAGGAGTCATACGAAAAGTTTAATAAGATTGGAATCAAATTCGTATTATTTGATAAGTGATTTATAATGATTTTAATGATTCTTAGATCTTTTTAAACAATCTGAAATTATTTGAAGGAAATTTCTACCTTCATTTAAATTCTCGCAAATGAGAATGTCACAATCAATTAAATATGGATCATGTAACAACTAGTTAAATATGGAAAATATTAAAAGTAAATTGTTACATTGTTAATTAAAATATGAATGTATATGAGTTTGCGAATATCTTGAGTGTGGAGAACTTATTGACATGTCAATTTTATTGTGCATATTCATTTTTTCGCATATTAAATATTACATTTTATTTGAAGATAAAAATTATTTGATAGATATTACTCTTAGACAGACTATGAGCTATTTATGTTCGTAATTCATGATTTGCTATTCGTATAAAATTCCCGGAAATTTATTATTAATCAATGTAGATATTCCACATTATTCACGATTTACAATTCGTGATTCACTGTGATAGCTCGGCACTACATATTGCGAGCTTAAAGATTGTGTAAATGTATAAATTAGACAAAGTAGATAACGCGTAGATAGTTTTTACGAATGTAAATAGATAATGTACACGAATCAAAACACACACACGAATTAATTGATTCGCGTGCTCTTTAATTTTGTAAAAAAAAATCGTTCCTGGTGAATCGGAACGAATGCGAAACAACAAATGTGAGTATGCACATTCACACTAATCGCGAATCTCATGCGAATAGCAAAATGCGAATATCGAACAACGAATTGCGCATAAATCTGGCACTAGCTTTGAGATATACTCGATTGCAAATCGATGATGCAAATCTTCTTAGAAATTGGTAATAATTTATATATAGTCGAAGATACACCTATAAGAAGTTATAAATGTCTCCAAGACATTATAGTAATTGATATATAATTAATTATCATATTATATGTAACTTTTTACTTGTGTTTAAAATTATACATTCCTTGGTTCTTGGTGAAGGAAATTAACAGTAATTCTTCGCATGTCAAATCATTTATTTTTTAAAAGTAAGTTCAAATACGAAAAAAAATACTGCTAAAATCGTGCATTCGCTTATATTCACATTTTACTGGAACTCATTAAAGTTTCAAAATGGATTTACATCGTTTTCGCAAGATAAACGATTCGTATGTGCTACAAACTCACAACACCTAATTTCGAAGCAGAATTGCAATTCTGTTGTTGCGTACATGTTAACATGCATCGACTAATTTCATTTCGACATCAACTCGATTCGTTTTGGAGTTAAAATGTTGCGTTTACTCCATGAATATTAATTCCGTGATTATCAATTAACTTGTAATTTTTGATGAAAACCCGACGCTGAGAACTTTGCTCTACAAATCGCATAATATCTGAAATAATCAAATGGAATAACGGAATCGAATGTAAAGATACCGACGGCACTCTATCAAACTGATTGTGAGTGAAATTTGAAAGAAATAGTGCATAAGTGAGAAAAGTAAAATCTAAAAGCGGATTAACGTAATACGTAGAAAATTCTGAATTATTTTAACGATAATAACTTAAGCAAAAGGATTAGCTCGCCTTTTCGATAGCATATCGATATAAGTCATATATATCTTGCAGAGAATGGGACCAAGCTATAGGAGTGGGCCAGGTTTTTGTCCTACTATAAACGCCACCGAATCTCAAGAGATTCTCGTGTCTTCCGGTATCAAAAAAGCGATACGAGTTAAAGTGCATATCATTGGGGTAAGTCAAAAAACTGTTACATTACTAATGACTAGATTTTTTCATCAATATCTATTTTGTGGAATTATAAAACGTTGCAAAAATTCCATGAATTTTTTCTAGATTTGTTACTAAATAAAATGAGAGAGATGAATTTGATTAATACTTAAGGTGATCCTAAAGTCGTCTGTTTTATCGATCAAACGTGATTATTTTCCCAAACAAAATAAACATAATTGAAGGCAACAGATTTAAAAATCCTTCTTCATACGATTAAAGTATAGGCATCAATGTAGTTCCGGCTGGTAGAAGTTATGAGAACGAAAAAAATTTAAGAAATTTGGATCTTACCTTTTCTTAGTTCAATATGGCATATAGAACTGTCAACGTGTGCCAATATTTGCTTCGTACAAAAATTTGGCAGTTTGTTGGTACAAAATGATTCCAGCCGGAACTACGAATTACATGTGCAAACAATGTTAAGTTTATAAGATTAGGCTTGGATATTTAATAAAAAAGATGTATGTTCTTGAAAATTGGTTACGATGTGTGCATGAGATATCGATATGGTAGTAAACATGAACACATCACTAGACACTACTATATCAAATTGCACGCATACATACGCACAAATTGTCGGTAAAATAACGATATTCTTGGAGTTTGATTCCAGTTTAGGATCGCCTTAAATCTTTTTTTTTATATTACGCAAAATATTAAGGAGTCATGTCACCTTTATAAGGTTTTAGAACGATACCTAAAGATTGGAATTTTTTTGTGAGTAAATGGATAACTTTATTTAAAATCTGCTTAGAGGACAGTATTGTACATATATAAGAAACTAAAATAATATTTTTTTATTTTTCTTATGTTCAAAATGGCGGCGCACTGGCCTACACTTGCGAAATCCTTTTTTTTTCTATCGGTGTACAGGATTCCAGGTACACGGTTTGACCTTGAACAAAACACAAAGAATTTTCATTATCTACATATTAAAAACTTTGGAAGTACGTAGGGATTTTTCTAAATATTAATTTTTCTTGAAATGGCAGCTATTTTAAGAAAGATTTGTACTGGCGAAAAATACATATTTTTCGTAAAATAGCTGCCATTTCGAGAAAAATCAATATTTAGAAAAATCCCTACGTACTTCCATAGTTTTTAATATATAGACCATCAAAATTCTTTGTATTTTCTTCAAGGTCAAACCGTGTCTGAAATCTTGTACACCAATTTAAAGCTACAGAAAAAAAGAATTCCGCAAGTAGGCCAGTGCGCCGCCATTTTAGACATAAAAAATAAAAAAATATTTTTCTTGCTTTTTTATATATGTACATTAATGTCCTCTAAACAGATTTTTAATAAAGTTATCTATTTACTCACAAAAAGATCCCAAACTTAGGTATCATTTTAGGGCTTCAAAGGTGACATGACCCCTTAAGTACATCATTGAATTCAGAATTCTGTTGAGAAACGACATATAAGTGTACATTCTGATGCAATTTTCAGCAATTCATCATACAAACGCGGTTCGTGTGCCAATTCAACATCGAAGGTCGCGTGACAAGTGTGAACGCGCGTCTGTTGGCCGACACGATCTACTGCGAGGAGACGGAATTCTCTTATACCTCTCGCGCGCCGAATATCACGGTACCTTTCGCAGTGATCTGGGGCGGTTCCAAACCTTTGGATAATCCAGACAATATACACCTTGTGATATACCGTTGCCGCGACATGGCGGAGAACTGCGGCATGTGCCTGGCTCTGCCGACGAAGTACGGATGTGGCTGGTGCCAGAGCTCGGACAGATGCGAGGTGAAGGATCAGTGCGACCGCGGCTCGGGCATGTGGCTCAACAGCAACCAGACCTGCCCAAATCCGGAGATACATTCGTTCGAGCCGGTAATGGGCCCCTGGGAAGGAAACACGAACGTGACGATTCAAGGCATCAATCTTGGCAAGACATTCAAGGTAAGAAAAGCGTAATTTCGTTTGTCTGTTACTCGTTACAGCGAAATACAGTCGTGTTCGTTTATCATTCTCATTTGTTGTTTGCATAATATATTATTATAATTAATGGAACATAAAGAGATACTATAAAAATATTAACACGAGGACACGAGGCCACAAGTCGAAAAAATAAAAAATTTTTTTTAAAGGCATTACTTTAGTTGTTAAGAAATGCATTTCTAAAGTATTATTTCTCAAAATTCTAGAAATAACTAACTAAGAAATAACTAAGAAATTCAAAGAAGTTATGAAACATTTCCGCAAGCGCATTAGAATATTGCAAGCGTGTCGCACTTAATAAGCTACAGCTTGTTATTGTATTTAAAGACATCACAGACCTAAAGCCTCTTATGATAAGTTAAAATAATAAATTCAAAATAAAAATGACATTAAAAAAAAAGATAAATACCTAACAAAAATATAAATAACTAACTTTGAAACTGTAGAAAAAAAATGCGGAAAACGTATGCCAACAGATTTAATGAACAAACTGACGAACTATACGAACCTGTTATATCGAAATCAAGATTCAATTGAAAGCATGAGTAATTTGGACAATTTATTACAAATTACTTTAAATGTTATAGATGTGCTTATTACCGATAAAATTTTTTATTATGCAATTATGTAATTTTATTATTTTTCAAACCGTTTTACTTTATGTTATAAGTCAATTATTTTATCGAATTGAACAATTGATTTTAAGTAATCGCTATTTTATATTTAAAAAATTTTTTTTGTTCAATAAATTGCAATTGTACGATAACAATTAGATTAAAATACCAAATTTTATTTCAAATGCCTAAAACGTCAGGATTTTATCAGTGTTAAAAAATATTTTTACGACGATATCATTTTTAATAGATCATATTTCAACCAAAAGTTAATATTTTTTAAAGATTTTTAAATTTACTTTTTTTTAAAAACACATGTATTTATGCATTTTTATATTTATTTATAAAGTATAAATAAAATTATGTTGATAAATTATTAAAATTATAAATATTAGAAACACACAATTCAATTTTTTTATCTTATCTCTGGTGTCCTTTCTTAAAAAAGGAAGATCTAATTTTTTTAAATATCAATATACAATATTTAAAGATTTTTTAATTGTAAAATTCAGTATTAACATTCGTATTTATATGTTTTGCACGTTACATTTTTATTGTCATTAATATTGGTATTTGTTACCTAACTAAATTATTCATTTATACACATAATTGTTTAATGCGTGTTGCAGGACATAGTCGGTGGCGTTACTGTGGCCGGTATGCGATGTCTACCTTATGAAGACCTTTACATTCGAACGAAGCAAATCGTTTGCCGAGTCGACGGACCTGGCACGCAGGAGGGCAGAAGCGGACCCGTCATCGTCAAGATCGAAGACTTCCGCGGCGAATCGGACTACAATTTCGAATTTGTGGACCCGCAGATCATCTCGATATCACCCAAGTACGGACCTTTGAGCGGTGGTACCACTATAAAGATCACCGGTAATTATATGAACGCCGGCAGCACAATTCACGCTGATATCGACGACCTACCCTGCTCCATAATAAGTACCGAACCGAACGAGGCCCTTTGCATGACGAGTCCAAGCGATCGAAAGCGATCGAAGGCGATGCTAAAGATGTCCTTTGACGGTGGCAAGCGTTTATACGACGGCCACTTCGAATACGTCGATGACCCGACAATCGAGACCGTGGAGAGCGGCGTTGCCGGTCAAATGAAGGTCCCGAAAGGAATTCCGGCGGGTGGAATAAAGATCTCGGTGACCGGCAAGAACCTCGCCTACATACAGAGCCCGCAAATGTACGTCTACTACGATGAGAAAATGTTCGTGTCGCAGTGCGAGGTGCACAGTCAAGAGAGCATGATGTGCAAGTCGCCGGCCATCGAATTGCGCGAGGGCGAGGTGCTGGATGCCGAGAAACCGCGCCATCTTGAATACGGCTTCCGCATGGACAACGTTACCGGGGTGCAGAATCTCTCGCGGCAGCCCGGCTTTAGCAAGTTTATCATGTATCCAAACCCGACCTACGAGGTCTTCGACGAGGACGTCAAGTATTACAAAAGTGACTATCTGACGATCAACGGTCAGCACCTTGATCGTGCCTGCCAGGAGTCCGACGTGGTCGTGCAAATCGGTAATGCCTTCTGCAACGTCACGTCCCTGTCGCGGCAACAGCTCACATGCCGGCCACCCTTGACGCAACCGCCGGCTATCGATGCCCAGGGTCTGCCCAATAAACAGGAACTGCCGGAGGTGGTGGTGATAGTGGGTGGTACGCTTCGTTACAAGATCGGCAAGCTTAGCTACGCACTGCCAGCCGGACTGAACGGGCCGCTGTCGAAACCCGCGCTCTTCGGCGTCATCGCCGCCATCGTGATCTTAGTAGTCGTATTCATAGCGTTCCTTATCGCCTATCGCAGAAAGTCCACGGAGAGCAACCGCGTGTTGAAGAATATGCAGGAGCAGATGGATATTCTCGAGCTACGGGTCGCCGCCGAGTGTAAGGAGGCCTTTGCCGAGTTGCAGACGGAAATGACCGATCTCACCGGAGACCTCACCAGCGGCGGCATACCCTTCCTCGATTACCGCACTTACGCGATGATGATATTATTCCCCAGCGACGACAACAGTCCGGTGCTGCAGTGGGACAGGCCAGAACTCGTACGGAAGGAGAAGGGATTGCGCCTGTTCGGTCAGCTGATAATGAACAAGACCTTCCTGTTGTTGTTCGTACGAACGCTCGAGAGCAATCGTTATTTCTCGATGAGAGATCGGGTTAACGTTGCCAGTCTAATCATGGTCACGCTGCAGAGCAAAATGGAATATTGCACGGACATTTTGAAGACCTTGCTGGCGGATCTTATCGAGAAGTGCACGGAAGGCAAAAGTCATCCAAAGCTATTCCTGAGACGGTAAGTATATGACGTTGTATTCTCAATGGCTGCGCTCAGCAGAGAAAAACATTTTTGCAACTGTTGTGAAATTCTTCAACGTGATTGGTGTTCTTCTTGCCCCTAGGCTCTTCATGGATCTAAATACATAGACTAATCATATTAAAGAATTTTACAAGCAGTTGCAAGGCCGATTTTTCTGCACTGAACGCAACCAATTAATGCTCGAGGTTGAGGATATTTGCGATTTTAAGGGATTTATTTATTTTACAGAACCGAGAGCGTCGCTGAGAAAATGCTGTCTGCTTGGTTCACATTTCTCTTGTACAAATTCATGAGAGAATGCGCCGGTGAGCCATTGTACGTATTGTTTCGCGCGGTAAAACAGCAAGTCGATAAGGGCCCTGTCGATGCGATTACGTCGGAAGCACGATACTCTTTGTCCGAAGAGAAATTGATCCGGCAATCTATTGACTTTAAGCCAATGGTAAAGAAGAAGCGTCAATAATACTTGAATAAGATAAGCTTGATGTTTTGCAACAACGTAACGTGTTTTTTCCCATTTGCAATTTCAGACGGTTTACGTCTCGATATCCCAACAAACCGTGTTCGTTGGCGGAATGGATCCTAACACGGAGAACGTGCCAGTCAAGGTCCTTGACTGCGACACAATATCTCAAGTGAAGGAGAAGGCGTTGGATACGATCTACCGAGCAACTCCGTACAGCCAAAGGCCCCGAAAGGAGGATCTTGATCTCGGTAAAGCGATTCTCTCTCTTATTTGAATATACTTAAACTTCACGTAAAATCACACGATTTCTCATGTTTATACTTGAAATGTTGCAGAATGGCGTACCGGCGCGTCCGGTAGATTAATTCTCTACGACGAAGATTCGACAACGAAGACGGAGGGCGAGTGGAAGAAGAGAAACACTTTGAATCACTACAGGGTACCGGACGGAGCGTCGCTCAACTTAGTATCCAAACAATCGTCTATATATAACCTTTCGATTCTGTCGGAGAAGACAGACAAATCGCACAAATACGAGACCTTGAATCTTAGCAAATTCAGTTCGGCGAGTCCCCCGCTCTCCCGCGCCACGTCGCCGCTCAATCAGAATATCGAGGCCGGCATGAAGATCTGGCACCTCGTCAAGCACCACGATTCCGACGCGCGGAAGGAAGGGGATCGCGGCAACAAAATGGTCTCGGAGATCTATTTGACGAGGTTACTGGCGACAAAGGGTACGCTACAAAAGTTCGTCGACGATCTGTTCGAGACAATATTTAGCACTGCCCATCGAGGTTCGGCGCTACCTCTCGCCATCAAGTACATGTTCGATTTCATGGACGACCAAGCTCTGCAACACGGCATATCCGATCCGGAAGTGGTCCACACGTGGAAGAGCAATTCCCTTCCTCTTAGGTTTTGGGTTAATCTCATAAAAAATCCGAATTTTATTTTCGATATACACAAGTCCAACATTGTGGACTCGTGCTTGTCCGTCGTGGCGCAGACGTTTATGGACAGCTGCTCAACGTCGGACCATAGATTAGGTATGTATACCCTATTACCAATTTTTACCGATATTATCAATTGAGAAGATTAAATCGATACATAAAGATCTTTTTTCCCTGCTGTTCTCTCAGGTAAGGACTCTCCGAGTTCGAAACTATTATATGCGAAGGACATTCCAGTGTACAAAGAGTGGGTAGAGCGTTACTACTCAGATATTAAAGTCATGCCAGCCATATCCGATCAAGACATGAATGCCATGCTTGCCGAAGAGTCGAGGGTATTTATCCATTTGTATATAATTCGTATTACGCCATACATCTTGGAAGTTTTATAATCTCTAGCGTACTATAACATCCGTCTAATTTTGTTTCAGTTGCACACAACGGAGTTTAACACGAATTGTGCTTTATACGAACTGTATACATACGCGGGTAAATACAACGAACAACTAATAGTCACGCTCGAGGAGGACGAGTTCTCGCAGAAGCAGAGACTGGCGTACAAACTCGAGCAGGTGCACAATATAATGGCGGCGGACAATCCCTGATGCATGACCATGAACTCCATGAAGCACATGACGAAACCTGCTCGTCAAGAGTTACCCTGCTGAGCGGTCAATCGCGATCCCCGGTATTATAATTATCAACAGCGCAAACGAGGGGAACTGGCCTACCTTGAAATCGATTATCTCAGGTTCCGTGCAAAAGCCAGTTTTTTCTCAGCTTAACGCGAATCGCGAGTGAACTTTGGGGGAGTTGTAGACCACAACGGGGAAGGGGGCTAAAGAATCGTCGCGAGTTAACTGGGAATTTAATTAAAGGACTATAAGTGTTAAAAGTTATGTGTCGAGGAAGTCTTCTCAGAGGTCGCCAGTTCGTAGGTGTGGCCATAATCATAAGCACATTGCCGCGCGCGCGCGCGCGCGCGCGTAATTGTACATAAGATATCAAAAAAAAAATCATGAAATAATTGTAATAGGATATTAAATGTACGATCACCCCTCGACGGCCGAGTCGAGTGCAAAAGCGGGGGAGGGAGGGAGG